GATGTGGATTGGTGTTGGGGTAACACCGAACATTATGCCTTTAGAGTAGTTAAGGAGAGTTTCCTTCATGCGCCAATATTGGCTTTGCCGGATCCTGATCGCCCATTCAGTGTCGTATGTGACGCTTCGGACTTTGCCATTGGCAGTGCTCTCTTGCAAGCTGACGTCGACGGTCGAGAACGCGTCATCGCGTTTGAGTCTCGGCAGCTGAAAGCTGCTGAAAAGAACTATCCTGTTCATGACAAAGAGCTACTTGCTATGAAGTACGCTCTTGTCAAATTCAGAGTACATCTGCTTGGATCAAATCCATTTGTGATCTATACAGATCATGCGTCGTTGCGCACTGCGAAACAGTCGCCACATATCTCTGTCAGAGAATAGCTCGTTAACTTTCCTTCTTTGCCGAATATGACTTCGAGGTGAAGTACAAGTCAGGAAAGCAAAATGCCTTGGCTAATGCGCTATCGCGCCGACCTGACTATGAGCTTGCTCATGTTACGACACTGTCGTCATCAGTCCCTGACTATGAGCTTGCTCATGTTACGACACTGTCGTCATCAGTCCCTGACTCAATCTGTGCGGCTTATGCCAAGGATGACCAATGTGTTGCTTTGCTACGGGCTCTTGGGAGCGACGAGTTTAAAGACTCGGACATAGAATTGTCGGCACCTTTACGTGCGAAGCTACATTGATTTTCTATTCATAATGGCCTGTTGTGATATCGCACGGATGCGGCGGATACTCCTCGTATCGCTGTTCCTCATGATGAAGTGTATCGAAGTCTTTGTGAGGCACATGATACTGCTTTAAGTGGTCATCTCGGTCGTGAGAAGACCTATGGCTCAGTGAGCCAGGCTTATTGGTGGCCCAAGATGTACAAATGGGTGAGCACCTATGTGCGTACGCGCGAAACGTGTCATCGGGTCAAACCCTCAGCACATGCGGCTGCACCGCTAGCTAGTCTGCCTTTACCCACTGGGTGTTGGGAATCCATGAGTATGGAATTTGTGTTCGGCCTACCAAAAGTTTCGGATGGCACACTGGCATTGTGGTATTTGTAGACCGTTTGATCAATATGGCTCATTTAGCGGCTGTGTCGGACACGATCGATGCTGAAGGCACAGCAAGGCTGTTTATCGATCGTGCGTTTCGACAACATGGTTTGCATGTGGCTATGTCTCTGATAGATATATAATCGCTTCACGGGAAAGTTCTGGAAGTCTATTCTTAAAGTGCTCGGCACCCGATTGTACATGTCCACGGCGGATCATCCGCATACCGATGGTCAAACTGAACGTGTTAATCGCGTCATTAGTGACATTTTGAGCAGTGTTTGCGCTGATAAGCCACGGCGTTGGAGATCTATGCTCCCTGTTGTTGAATTTGCATTGAACCACGCTTCATGCCTTGACAGGCTTTACTCCATTTTACGTAAGCGGTGTCACCCACCCTCGCGTTCCGTTAACTCTAACACTCGGTGGTTCAGGGCTTGGTGGGGGAGAGGTTGTCGATCGGCTTGCTGATATCAGTCCTGCTACTGTTCAAAAACAGGTAGGCGAGTTTGTCGACACGCGATTAAATGTGTTACGACATGTGCGTGACGCAATGACTGATAGCCAAGGACAACAAAAACGACAAGCTGACGCCAAAGGCAGAAATTGCATTGAAAGTTATGAGGTTGGAGACCAAGTATTACTCAGTGCTAAAAAATCTACCTACAAATGTAGTGTCTGCTGTCTTGAAGACAAAGTTGCGTCCACGCTTCATTGAACCGTTTATGGTCAACGCCAAGAAGGGCCTTGCGTATACACCCAACCCTTCACGCAAATTGCGTATGCACCCAGTGTTCTACGTAGGCTTACTTAAGCCGTACCGGGATCCTTCCTATGTGAACTTTGAGGCGCTGGCGCTGACGGCGAGGGTGGTGCCCCGGATTGCTTCAAGCGAATCAGCAAGTTAAACTGAGCCGCTCTCCAAAATTGATCACGCTTTATCGCCTGAAGGCGGCTCGTCATCGCATCAAGGATGCATTGGGCTTACCTAGGGTCTCTTGAAGACCCTTCAATTTAAGAACCAATTTCTCGTGGACTGCCACCGGTACACCGGCCACCACCGACGCTACTCGATGAGCATGGGTGTCGTCATTTTTCAATTCGAGAGAATACTCAAACAACGTTGTCGTCATGGCCAGTACCAGTATCTGATTAAGTGGCAGGGGTACCCTCAGTCTGAGATCTCATGGGAATACGAGGTACTTCTACGGCAAGGTTGCCCTTACGCTTTAAATGTTTTTGAACATCGTGGCCCAGGTCTTCTTTAGACCGAGGCCGTTTTCCACCATTAAGGGTGTGGGTTGGCGGGTTGCTGGTCATAGTTTGACCAACAACAGCGGCTACTGTAGTAGCCGAAGCGTATCGCGTGGAATTACGCAACTGGTCTCTGGTCTTAAGCTTGGCATAGTCATACCGAAGCTTGCGTTCGAGACGCACATCGGCCACATTGGCACTAGCTCTTAGAGCAGACATACTGCTGAGGCGACGTATAAGGTGCATTCAGCAGACGAATGCATTGTCTTCTTCGCTCTCTGTTTCGCCTGCAGACAAGAGAATGGGCATATCCTTAATCAGTGGGGACCGGTGTACCAAGTGTTTGTATATCAAGGCGTGCCTTGTATTGACCTTGGGTCGTTAGGTGAGGCTCGTGGCCAATGATCCACGTTGCCAACGATTGGCCGGCCGCTTGACGTAAGCTTTCCTCCGCACTGGGTGAAGTGGACACACAGTCACGTTGGTGCTCGAGGGTTGCGGCCATTTGCGCATAGTGCTGATTTCTTGTCCTCGTTGAAGGATTATTTGTTGTTGCTCATCGAGCGAGTTCGTGAAGATGTTATCATCCGAACCGGGGTTGAGCGCGGCGCCAATGGCGAATTCTCGTCATCATGTTCAAGAAACGGACAGGGGCAAGACGAGGTTGTACCTCAGACATGGGTTTATCGGACGTTGTCCCTGCATCACCCGGGACACTGGTATCGCTACCATAGATTAAAACCTCCCCCATTTTGAGGTAATCACTGACAGTCTTTGATTCGTTATGTGATGAGGACATCGTGCTAGAGATTTATGTTGCCGTAATGATCCGCTTGAGTGCTGGCCTCGTGAAAGAATAAAGTTCTAAGAGCACGTTCGATTGGGACGAGGTTCAATTGGCGTTTTAGAAACGTCAGTCTAGTTGGGGAGGGTGTAACGGGGTTACACGTAGTTGGTAAAATGGTACCCTGTGATTCGAGCACACGGGTGATATCCCACCTGAAAGAGACGTAGAATTTCTAATCGGTTTGTAGAGGCTGAAAGGTGTCAGCCACTAGATTGAAGAGATCTTAGTTGTACTAACGTAGGTTAAGATATTCTTTAGGTGCAAATGTAAATAAATTTCAGTTCACCTTTTGATCTTAAAGACACGGGCCTTGCGAGGCGTCTTTGGTCGTTGATCGCTGATAACTAAGAGTTAGCAACACCTCCCTGAGGTAGCTAGTTATTCTTGAGCACTAAGGGCTGTCGATTCACTGAATCGTTTGGTCCCCTGGAACAAGGACCATAAGCGTTACGCTCATTGAGTTTTGTTCGTTAGAACAAACTTGCTCGTTGGGCGTTAAGTCTTCTCTGACTCAAGGAGCTGTGTAGCTCCGCTACAATAGCAACCAATCAAAATAAAGCTGCTGATTTTATAAAAAGATCCTTATTGTGAATATTACAACTGAGGGTGGGCAGACAGATAGTTCTACTATGTAGAATAGGCCCCATATCTTTTAGTTGTAATGATCTGTTTGTCAGGAGGAGTGAAAGATTTCGCGGCCGTTAGCAAGACGGAGATTAGTGGACTCACTCATTGTTCTATCCGGATCAGTGTTTGTAAGCTCTAGGAGAGAACAAAACGACATATTTGTCACTACGAGCAAATACTATTTGTGGCGTATAAATAGTTCTACCTACAATTAAGTCCCTGGCTTGTGCGTACAATTATAGTTAATCACATTTGAAAGGACAAATAATAGCATCTGTATTCTGTTATTTGTCCTTTCAAATTTGACAGGGAAAACGTGATCAGCTATAATTGTACGTACAACCTGAATTCTCCGATCGAGATTTGCGGGTACAAATATTTGTAACACGGTCCGTACGCTGCCACTAGTAGGTACAAATGAAATTGTACAGGATCCCGTGTCACTTGTACCCACAAAATGATACTCTAGCGAGCATTTGTATGTACAACTACAAGCTCGCGCAATGTGCTCGCACTTATATCTAAATTTGGCTCAGGCTGTTTTACATGGGACGTCTTGGCAAACCATGGCGATATCTGAGCGATTACGTGAATGATAAAAATGAAAAGCAACTGTACATATTCATAGCCTTCCAGTAAAAATTGAGATGTTGCACCCCGTCCTTTCGCCTTGAATTCCCAGTCATCGAGCCCTTCTCACCAAATTTGAGGAGGTATTCTAGCCTGAAACCAAGAACGTTCTTCGACGCGGGCATTTGCGCACAAGTTTCTGCTTGACTGTCGCCAGTGCAGTCAGTTCAGTAAGAAGTTGGTTTTGTCGATCCGACGCTCGCACGTATTTGGCGTTTGCGTCGGACTTAAGGTTTTTTTCGATTCCCTCTCCGGTCTGAAACAGGTGAACTTGAAGTTACACGCGACTAGTCATGGATATCTTTACCGCTCCATTCGCGACAGTGCAGCCAGCAGCCACACAGGCTGTTTGAGTTCAGGAAGTTTCGCTTCGTTTCGATGGCGAGCGGTTAGTGAACGGGCGACAGCCTCGTTTATCGAAGTAGAAGGGAAAGGATAATGAAGTCGAGTTGACATCGATCCAGGATACGTTTTAACTGACCAACTCAGATGATACCTATCATCAGACCGTGCTGTCTCACAGACTCGGTCATTCCTGAATTAGTCACTTCAAGAGACTTCGTCATTCCGGATCTAGACACTTCGAGAGTATGAAAGCTTGCTTCGCTGCGTTGTTTGCCTTGGTGCTGTCGATGGCTTTGTCAGCAAGTTTGGGCGCCGGGGTTGCCATGCAATCGGCGGCTGCCGAGAACACTGCCAACCTTCGAAGGGCTTTGGTGACGATGGGTGAAGAGGAACCAGTTTTGGAAGCTGACGCCGGAAAGGAGGAGGACGAGGCTGTGACGACGGAAAACACAGCAGTGTCAGTGCCAACCAGTGATCTGATCAAGCCAGATGCTGAAGAGGAGAAGAGTGCCGACGAAAAAGAAAAAAGCGAAGAGGAGGAAGAAGAGGAAGAGGAGGAGGAGGAGGAGGAAGAGGAGGAAGAGGAAGAGGAGGAGGAGGAGGAGGAGGAAGAGGAAGAGGAGGAAGAGGAAAAAGAGGCAGAAGCGGATCCATCGTCAATCACCAAACCGTCGGAAGAGGCGGGTGCCGCTGAAGAGAAGACCAATGAGGAAGACGAGAAGCCCGTTACAGCTTCGACCACCGAAGAATAGACCCACGAAGAAGACGAGAGCGCGAATACAGATCTGCGTACGATGAGGAGAGGAAGTTGAAGAAGAGGAGAACAAGAGCGTCGAATGTTGTTGAGCGACGTCGTCCCTGTCAAGAAGCAAGACCAAGATGAGGGTCTTCATACCGATGAGGATTCGTCAACTCGTTTGGAAGAGTCGAAAACTAGTGACGAATAGTTGGTGATCTGGAGAGCGACTGGGTCAATGGTACCTTTGAGGAGGGAATCACGCGCTAGGGTAGTTGTGGCTTTCGAAACAATACAAATACGCGGTTTTAACACTCTTGCGTTTGGTCAGAAGTCAACCTGGTGTAGTCGCAGAGGAGATCCTTCAATCGTCCGTCATTCTTCGTGTCTTGGCCGATTCCGAACTCACGTTCCAGGCCTTGTGAGACATCGAAACTCATCGACTTTGGACTGCATCCGCTCGTACAACTGCTGGGTGCTTTCCATGCTCCAAAGCTAGTGGTATGCTCGGTGTAGTTGTCTCGGTACTGAAATGTATCTCGCACATGTCATCATTACGTACTTGGCAACCCGTCGTCGAGTGATTTTCCATTTACCTCTTCTATCACAAGGACGACACCAACGCATGATGATAGGATGTACCGTATCGCGCGGGTTGCCCAATGATTTCGATTTGGATGAATGTAGTACGCGAAGTCCTTAGCGGCCGAGAAGTGGTGTCTGTCCCGTACGGGTATCGTCACATTAGTTGTGTGTGTGGGGGGGAATCGAGCGGCAAGCAAAATCGCCAAATGGGCAATGTTTTTTCGACAACATGAACATAACACTGAATCCTTACAACTGGATAACCATGACGGGAAATGCTAGGCGTCATGATACGTACGGCACACGATTATTCGTGTCGAGCAGTCCGTCTATTACAGTGTCGCTCAGTTTAAAGCGTATAGACGTTATCCCTCTCATGTAATGTGGGATCAGCACTTCACAGTAGCATCTCCAGATACAACAAACATAAGACTCCTGATTCGCATGCCATAATACCCATACCCTCTGCGGACTACAGCTGTAACGTTATGGCACATGCATTTGTTTTGCTATAACTACAGCCTGTGTCTGCTCCAGCAGTCAGTCCTCATCTAGTTTTCCCACCTCCTTGGTTTGCACAAAGAGCGTTCATCGGAAAACTCTCGAGTTGCGTCGTCGATCAGGCCCTCATTCTTTGATTCCAGCACCTTTGACAGGGGCGCAATGTCCCCCTGGGATCGAACAAGGTGTTCGAACAAGGTGCCCAAAAAAATCAATGGAAGTCAAAGCGATGACGTGGGGGTGGATTCGCTTGCGGCATCGAAAGCGCTTGTTCAGAACGACATCGGTTAACGAGGCGTTGCGCCCCGTCCTTTCGCCTTGAATTCCTAGTCATCGAGCCCTTCTCACCAAATTCGAAGAGGTATTCTAGCCTGAAACCAAGAACGTTCTTCGACGCGGGCATTTGCGCACAAGTTTCTGCTTGACTGTCGCCAGTGCAGCCAGTTCAGTAAGAAGTTGGTTTTGTCGATCCGACGCTTGCACGTATTTGGCGTTTGCGTCGGACTTGCGGCTTTTTTTCGATTCCCTCTCCGGTCTGAAACAGGTGAACTTGAAGTTACACGCGACTAGTCATGGATATCTTTACCGCTCCATTCGCGACAGTGCAGCCAGCAGCCACACAGGCTGTTTGAGTTCAGGAAGTTTCGCTTCGTTTCGATGGCGAGCGGTTAGTGAACGGGCGACAGCCTCGTTTATCGAAGTAGAAGGGAAAGGATAATGAAGTCGAGTTGACATCGATCCAGGATACGTTTTAACTGACCAACTCAGATGATACCTATCATCAGACCGTGCTGTCTCACAGACTCGGTCATTCCTGAATTAGTCACTTCAAGAGACTTCGTCATTCCGGATCTAGACACTTCGAGAGTATGAAAGCTTGCTTCGCTGCGTTGTTTGCCTTGGTGCTGTCGATGGCTTTGTCAGCAAGTTTGGGCGCCGGGGTTGCCATGCAATCGGCGGCTGCCGAGAACACTGCCAACCTTCGAAGGGCTTTGGTGACGATGGGTGAAGAGGAACCAGTTTTGGAAGCTGACGCCGGAAAGGAGGAGGACGAGGCTGTGACGACGGAAAACACAGCAGTGTCAGTGCCAACCAGTGATCTGATCAAGCCAGATGCTGAAGAGGAGAAGAGTGCCGACGAAAAAGAAAAAAGCGAAGAGGAGGAAGAAGAGGAAGAGGAGGAGGAGGAAGAGGAGGAAGAGGAAGAGGAGGAGGAGGAGGAGGAGGAAGAGGAAGAGGAGGAAGAGGAAAAAGAGGCAGAAGCGGATCCATCGTCAATCACCAAACCGTCGGAAGAGGCGGGTGCCGCTGAAGAGAAGACCAATGAGGAAGACGAGAAGCCCGTTACAGCTTCGACCACCGAAGAATAGACCCACGAAGAAGACGAGAGCGCGAATACAGATCTGCGTACGATGAGGAGAGGAAGTTGAAGAAGAGGAGAACAAGAGCGTCGAATGTTGTTGAGCGACGTCGTCCCTGTCAAGAAGCAAGACCAAGATGAGGGTCTTCATACCGATGAGGATTCGTCAACTCGTTTGGAAGAGTCGAAAACTAGTGACGAATAGTTGGTGATCTGGAGAGCGACTGGGTCAATGGTACCTTTGAGGAGGGAATCACGCGCTAGGGTAGTTGTGGCTTTCGAAACAATACAAATACGCGGTTTTAACACTCTTGCGTTTGGTCAGAAGTCAACCTGGTGTAGTCGCAGAGGAGATCCTTCAATCGTCCGTCATTCTTCGTGTCTTGGCCGATTCCGAACTCACGTTCCAGGCCTTGTGAGACATCGAAACTCATTGACTTTGGACTGCATCCGCTCGTACAACTGCTGGGAGCTTTCCATGCTCCAAAGCTAGTGGTATGCTCGGTGTAGTTGTCTCGGTACTGAAATGTATCTCGCACATGTCATCATTACGTACTTGGCAACCCGTCGTCGAGTGATTTTTCATTTACCTCTTCTATCACAAGGACGACACCAACGCATAATGATAGGATGTACCGTATCGCGCGGGTTGCCCAATGATTTCGATTTGGATGAATGTAGTACGCGAAGTCCTTAGCGGCCGAGAAGTGGTGTCTGTCCCGTACGTGTATCGTCACATTAGTTGTGTGACGAGAAGCCAAGAGCGCAAGCAAACGTACTAATGTACAAAATCCTTTCAATCCGATATCTGGTCCCTATGTTTTAAGGAAGTTATGTTCGAAAGCTCGATACGCCATGTATGCTAGTCTCGATCTTAGTCTGCCGATGACGTGGATTGGTACTAGAAAAAAGTAACCTGAGTCCACGCCGTAAAAAGCGTGGTCTAAAGATCCATGTGATCCACTTGCTATGTCAACCTGCTTTCATCTGACACATGCATCGGGGCCGTCATATTTTGACTGAGCAAACGACACCAATCAAGCTCAACACATACCCAGTGATCTATTCGTTTTTATGGTGCCGAACCCTCGGTGGCTACCAATATTATGCACAGCAAAGATGCAACAAATACTACAGTCAGCCCGACAGTCGTCAGTCGTTTCTACTGTGCTTGATTCCGTTTATCGTTTGACTGCAGAAAGCTATAAGCTGTGTCACGAAAAAATGAAAGCTTGCAACGCGTTTGGTTACGAAATCAGACATATACCTTCAATGCCCTCGCCATAATCTCCAATGACGGTCCGGAACATGTCTACGCACGCAGCTTCGAAGTGCAGACTTCGTTCTACATGCTGTCAAGCTGCAGCTGGGTCCCAACGGCCACGAAATTTCACACCTCGGCCTCAGTCACCCCTTGTGTATATCGTTACTCATCCCGTTTATACCCGTCGAATCGCCGGTGGTACAATACTAATGACGCTGACATGCCACAGTTGTCACAACTGTTTGGTCTCGATACATTTTTAAACGCCTTAACGGTCGTGAGATGAAATATTGGTTGTCTTTGGTGTATCCACAATCTCCACCGTGATGTCACTGTAGCTTCCGGAAGTCTTTCGCAGCAGCTTACAAATGCGATGCTCCGGATCATTGTCACCAATATTTTCTTCCGACGTGGCTCGAGTCAAAAGACCTTTCACTTGCCGCAAGATGCGGCTGCCTGCTGGTTCCGACTCGACGCCGAAGGTACTTCGCTTTTTCCGGTTGCGGACTCGTAGTCCCTGTGGGGTCAGGTAGATATCTCCCAATAGCACCCACTGCTCCACAACGGCATGACTCGTAATCCATCCGTCTGCTGTCCGCGTTAGCGGTACAGGCACTGCACCACCCCTGGAAGCCATGAGCTCTTCCACATGATGGCGACCTACAATATACATGGCCACACACGCACACACCAATCCGAAAAACATCATGCCTGACGGGACGGTGAAGGTACCCCAATGGTAATCCACTCGCTCCAGCAGCATAAGCTCACCACTGGTACCCGCTACTAAAGCTAGGGTATAGAGCACACTTGCCGCCAGCTGCCACCGGGTAAGCCGGTAAGTACCTGAGAACTCGTTGTACAGTACAAGAAGTAACGACCCGGCCATAAGCAGTTCAAAGACGAAAAATGGTGCGAACACAAGCCACCATGACACCGATGGCCGTGCCATCTCTAGTATCTCAACTCGACGTTGCACGTCAGACTGGTATGCCAGCAGTAACGTAAAAACGAAAAGCAACGTCCAGCATATTCCCTGGTGCATTCATCAGCAAAACTGATCAGTCAGCTGCAGCAGCAGAAAACAAAGATTTCTCATTTCCACTTACCGGCAGTGTGCTGTCCGATCGGCAGAGCAGGTACCGAACCACAAATGCCACTTGAATTACCATCAGCGGTGCATAGCAGAAATAGAGACTTGTGGATGTGTGGTGCTGCAAACTAGCGCAAAACGCCAGCTCACTCCAGAGTAAGAGCAGCGTCAAGGGAAAACTAATGGCGTAAACGAGCACAATCCGTCGCAGTAGCGGCAGCAGCGGCTCGTTCGACATCGACTCGACTTCTGCCCATCTCCGGAGCGTCATAGCGTGACGAGTCGACGTCACGTGTGCGTACAGTATGGCGCCATTCGCCAGCCAAAAAGGCAGAAAAACCAGCCACCAGTTCACGCGTGACCCCAGCACGCCCTCAAAATTAAGAGACACGAGTGCTACACCCACGATACAGCCCATTGCGTAGAGTAGCACTCCGTTTAGAAGCGCTGCCAGCGCCTTCTCGGCAAAGATCAGCGGCTGGAACTGGCCACTGTCCGAGAGGCGGCCGCTATCGCTCGGCAGTGCAGGCATGGACATGTAGAAGTCCTCACAGGAAGAGGAAGCAACTTGATCCAGTGCACGTAGCAGAGGAGATCTCTCGCTGAGAGAGCTGCTGCTTGATGCACGAGGAAGCGCATCGGACACCCCGGGGCCCATCGTCCTGTCCACGGGTCGGATCATTCAGCTGAATACCGTTATGCTTGCTGAGAGGAGGATCTGTGCGAAGTCGAGAGGGTATCACTTTGTAGAGGCTTGCAAGTCTCACCACCTCTTCTTTGTCATTACGTTCGACTTGCTGCTGGACTTTCACGTCCTTTCTGATACATTCCGACGTGTACATAACCGTGCGAACGAAAGGTGTCACGTCGTTCGATGTCACTACACAACCACGCAATCAACTTGCGGGCTGGTCGAAACGTCCACCCTCGATAAGCACCTCTCCTCTCTTGAATCCACTAGTACACAATTGTACATAAAAAGCGATTTTGAGTCATGCTCTACAATCCCGTCATCGCCCAGACGCAAATTATTGTATCTGCGTGAGGTTATCGTCATGTGTCACGATGCACCATTCATGATGGAGTTTGGCGTTGCGATCGTGCGAGCGCTCGGTCACCAGATTGTTTTCGTGCAGATTCTTAGCAAGCCAGCATATCTTTTACAATTTCGACTTAAACCACCTTGAGAATGAACAACGCGATGACGGCGCACGACTTAGCGTTGCGGTATCTTTTCGACACGAGGATTCTGGGAGCAAGCGCTAAGAGCGACTGCACCACTTCTTTTTCAAAGCGAGAAAAGGCCCTATCGACGATTGCATGGACCTCATCACATAAGCTGTCGGAGGAAAGGTCAGCAATTATATCTGGACAAAGAGGTGAGCAGAGGTGCACGAAGAACATTGACCATAATAAGCAAACATTACATCAATGCAAATAGTTTGCATTCACTTTTTTACTGCTCTCGAACCTCCGGGCCGTCAAAAACTGCGTTGAGTTTGAGTGCCAGCCCGTCGTCTTTACAACGTTAACGCCACGGTCTTCGCCCGGACTGTTGGTCAACCGAAACATTCTCAACACAGTAGTAGTTTATGTCCCATCGCAAGCGTATCATCATGCCTGGTACTCCAATGTGCCATGGCTCAATACGACAAGATCCAAATATCCGCACCAATACCCGCAACTCGCTGACGCGTTATTGCTCCTAGAAATCTGCCAACACCACTGTTATTTGGTCCACTACTGAAGCCAAAACCGACAGCAGCGACGGTCGCAGCTTCACACCACGACTCACGTCCCACAAGCAGCAATAACTCACTTGTGTTCAATAAGTTTGTATTTTATGCAGCGACAGATTACACCCACGACAACACATCCTGACATCACCAGTGCTTCTCCCACCGCCAAAATGCTTTCCACGCAGCGCTAAACTCTATCGTTAATTGTGATTACCCTCACGCAGACACAATGATTCTGTGTCCGGGCGAAGATGGGATTGTAGAGCATGACTCCATAGCGCTTTTTATGTACAATTGTGTACTGGAGGATTCAAGAGAGGAGAGGTGCTTGTCGAGGAAGGATGTTTAGACCTGTCCTCAACTTGCGCGAATCGCACGACCGGGCGACCGGGCGACCGCCTCGTTTGCCAATGGAACGCTCTGGATCCTGCAAACGCATCCGATTCTCTCTGTTATTGTTGAAGGTATGGAAGCACGCTCCATCTGTCTTTTACACTCGACGCGTGGCATTGCACTCATTGTCCGACGATTGGAATTAAGTAGCGGAGCCAACCACATACTATGATTCCGCATCGCGATGGAGAAATTCAGGCTAGCATTTTAGGCAGTTGTACAGTGTAGCTGCTAATTTGTATCTGTCTGCTTTGCGGTGGTGGTGATAGGTGTGGGATTCGTCATCGTCTTTCTTTTTTTGTAATTGACGTGTTCTGAATCGGCTTCATTCAACCGCACAGGTTAGTTCCTGCGCTGGGTTTGTGCCAGACTGGAGTTGATTGCGGGTTACCATCCAGAAAAATCGTAATCCGCTATCAACTCCTATCAGCTATACCACCTTTTCAATCGTGCCACGATTGACCGCTGGTATACCCACCGAAAGAGTCTGGAGCACCCTCGGCAACACTTAGGTAGCTTTCACGCAGATGTTTGTGGAACAATGTACTCGCTTCTTCAAATACAGAAAGAGTCACGATTCCCTGAGATGTGTGGTAAGAAATACTGTTGGAGGTGGAAAGAGTGGATCCATCCACGGCACAGGTCTTCGAGTATGTACACGCATCTGGTCGGGATGAAGCAGCTTTATTGCCGATTCGACACAAGATGAAAGGTATGTCGAGTTCACGAGCCGAGTCTAGAAATCAGCAACAATTGTCGCTTGAGGTTGTCCGGTCGTCATTCAATGGCTATATGACCACCCCGACTTATGTCCTCATGAAAGCGCAGAGCCAAGGTACTCATACTCATCACTCGACTTGTTGCTGCTGCTAGCTCGCGGTCCAGCGTTCGAATGCGCTAAATCAATTTTTTGTATGAACACTTTTGTGGTTGCTGGCGCTAGCATTCGTACACCGACACTGACCGTTGCGTCGCGCATCTTCAAGATCTCTTCGCCTTCACTCGCTTCTCGCTGACAGCAATGCTGCGGTTGTCCTCTCGAGAAGCGATGGTAGAATGATGATTACTCTCGTCGAATTAAGCTCCTGCACGCAGTGTTGCTGGATCGAACCAAGTTTCTGGACAGGAGGTCGATTACTTGTCAGATTATGCAATAACTAGAAGGATACAATGTGTAATGACTCGGTTCTTACGTGTGCTAGACTCTGCCACTGTGACATGCATAACCGTATTATGGTATCACCGCTCTTCTCAAATGATAACTTTCTTGCTCGCTGCAATAGTGCGTGACAGATGAACGATCGCATTCTCCCGTCAAACGACACTTCCCACGGGTAGTCGTCAAGCTTTCTCGCGTTAGTGATGTCATCGTCTTTTTTCTCAGACAGTGCTAACATAAGCTTCACTGCTCGCTTATTTTCCGTAAGATCCTGCTAAAATACCTATCTGCTCGCCTTGTCGTTTGCATCTTGTCAAAGTCGCTACACGGGCATAACGAGATTCTGGTGCATGTACTTATAAAAAGGCTACGTCGCGTCGACAATCCTGCCGTCTTCAGTATATTCAATCGCGCAGCCGCACTTGTACTTGCAACATGCTGACAAACGGGTTCATGGCCGTTCGCAGGTCGCATTCACCACCAAATGCACTATATTTCACAACAGCTTGTCGATGTTATAGCTGGAAAAGAGCACGATCTTCAACAAGTTGAGCGGCTTGGTTCGCTCAGATCCACCCACGTAGCATACCCGTTCGTAATTGTGATAAATTGTGTCAACTTGTCGAGAAACAGGTCGAACGGATTGTTTTTCATTGCGAAACAATCATCGCGAGAGAAGAGCTAGCTGTGAGGGGTCGACTTGGCTCTTGGATTGTTAACTGTGTGACGTTGCAATTTCTGTCGTCCAATCCTCGATTTAGTCGAGGCGGACGACGTCCCGACATGCCGAAATGATTGGGCAATTCGTGGTCGTCCAACGATCTTGCGTTGCCCAACCCTATTACAGCCCGACTTTAGTCTTATGGCAGTAAGCCATCGATCTGCGACAAGCTAGTCACGTAAACTTCAATCATGCTATAGAAAACTGCAGCATCTCATAACCGCTTATAGGTGATACCCAAACGAAGTGATTGCTGGACTCTAACTCGCTGATACTATTTAACTGTCACCGCATATTTATGATGGCCACTGCGCGTCAAATCCGAGCCTCGGGCTCATTCGGCAAAGAGAAGGAGCGCAGAGACCATGGGAAACGTGACGTCCAAGAGAACCGGCAGACGCCACTCTGCCGCGACGCGCGAGCTCGAGAAGTACACGAAGCCGACGGGGTACGTTTGCCGTACCCGTCTACGTAACCTCCTTTGGGTATTGACTTTGCTGTCGTTTAGGCTGTACCCGAGCTGTCCGTGGGAGCTCAAGATTGCGCGCCGTCTGATCGTCGACCGCAAACTGGCGCCGCGCTTTCATGGCAAAGAGATGAAGGAGGAGGGATTCACTCTTGAGTGTCCGATCTGCTTTATGGTGAGAGAGAGAGAGACGGGAGGAGACTGCCAAGGTGGACCATCTAATGACCGGTTGATGCTGCATGACGTTACGTTGTTTCTAGTTCTACCCCGGGAGTCTGAACACGTCGAGCTGCTGCAAGAAACCCATTTGCTCCGAGTGCTATCTTCAGATTCGGCCGCCACGCAAAACGATTTCGTGCGTGACGACAGTTTGCGTCCAGAGACTCGAGATTGATGGCTTCGGACTCACGTGTGTCTTTTGTGTGGGCTGTCTGTAGCTGTCCATTTTGCAACCATGAAGGGTTCACTGTCCTGTACACGCCACTGACACCGACAGAGCTCACCTCGACCCATTCCGTGACAGTAAGCGCAGCCCCTGATTCTCTTCTTTCACTGATCGATTATGTGCTAAGCCTCATGTTCTGTATTACATTGTAGAACGGAATGTCTCCGCGTCGAAGTAGCGCCATTGGCATCCCCAAAGCTACAGAAACAGAGTGCGCTATGACGTCAAGTCTGCAGAGTGTGCAGTACGCGTCAGTGGAAGACCGTGATCGGATTCGCGATTCGCTTCGCTTGCAGCTTAGCATCAGCGACAAGCCTGTGACCAACAGTCCACACCCGAATCGTGTCGCAGCGCTGAATGACGCAGCGTCCCACGTTGCGACAACACCCGCAGACGCTGCGCGGCTAGAGGAACTGATGCTCTTGGAAGCTATTCGGCGGTCGATGCAAGATATTAGCGTCGACAAAAACGACGAGGAACGAGGGAAATGGCAGAATGCTCAGCTACCTAACGGCGTGAGTGGAGGTGCCGGCGAAGGGCATGACTGCAACGTCGACTGTGCTAACGGTGTGGTGCTGAACGCATCTCAACTCAGCGTTAACGCCCGAGATGTGCTACACTATCCCCCCAGCTCATTCACATCTCACTACCGCAATAATGCTGCGCCCCCAGTGCAATCGTCTAACACACCGAGTTGGTATTGTGGCAGTGATTGAAGTCAGGCGTCGTAAGGCTTGGTGCAGACAGAGATGCTTCAGGTAACGGTGGTGCCCACGGCTGTGGAAAGATGGGTGGCGTGCTGGGAGTAGTAGTAATGGGCGTACGAACGAAGTGCGAGAAGGGCAAGGACGCGGACGAGTACGAAAACGGTATGCTCGTTAACTTATTTGGAGTCGCCATGCTCAGATTATCATAGTCGTCCATAAGTTTTACGATAGCAGAGTCATCACATTGAATTTGGCGTGTACATTTTCAATACAACAGGCGTCTGTCTAGCTGTTGCTGTGCAAGTTCGATTATGTAATCGACGGTTGGCTGAGAATCGTCATGAACAGTCGCAATGTGCGCGTCTTCACGGTGGCGAGCGAGTCGCGGTATTTGGTGGTGCGCAACGTACCGGCGCTAGGTGTGGTTGAAGACCTGCTCAAGCGACTCAGTCTCTTCGGAAAAGTCTGCGAGTACCGTCTGCTCGACCATGCAGACGATCGACAAGCAGCACTGCAGTTTGAGGGAGGCGACAATGATGGTGCCAACGACGACTTCTTGGATACAGTGTGGGTGCAGTATGAGACCGTGAACAATGCGCGTCACGCAAAAGCGCGCGGAGTCCAGAAGCTGTTCTATGGCAACCGTCTACAGATCTCGTACGCGCCACAGTTCGAGTCACGTGAAGACACAATGGACAAACTAACCCAGCGCCGGCAGCTGCTTCTGTCTCGTAGCAATCATCGTGCAAACCGAGGACCGATAGCGGCAATGACCGGCAATCACGAACAGCTCCCGTGCACGGCACCACTGCCGTCACCACTCTCGCCTATCGCGGCTGAAGGCAAGGTTGAGTTTATCGGTCCGCATCTGCCTGCAAGAATTCAGCAGTCTGCACTGGATTCTTCCCCTCCACGAAAACTGCAGCATCTGCAGTCGAAGCAAGCAGCTCCTACGGTACCAAACCAGCACCAAAACACGAAACGGCGTCGAATATAAACAGATTAGAAGTTGTTGCTACACGAGCTGCTTGAATTGACGGCGCATGGAGCGGACAAAGAGCGCCAAGTCGCCAGACTCGTTTAGGTTCGTCACAAGCTCGTCCAGCGACGCCACTTCTTCGTTACAATTATCGACTAAGCACGGTGGAAACAAGAGCAAGTCAATCGCCGCAACACACTGCAACTTCGCTTATCCAACGGAAGACGCACCAACATATCGGTCTGTGATAGGGTTTATCGTGATTTGGAACGAAAACTCACGACTGGGGTCCTGTGGGTCTATCTGACTGAACCGAGCAATGATGCGATTCACTACGCAGCGACAGCACCATCATCGTATGTCAGTCCTACTCTCCTCACGCTATCGTCAATGACACTCCCACTGACCTTCCAAGTGCTCAAAGACGAGTCCGAGTTTCTCATACAAGGCGAGTCCCTGCTTGAGATCACGTAGCTGCTGTTTCAACATTTCCCTCTGCTTCTGTGACTCTGCCAGAAGCTGCTTGAGCTTGGCATCCTCCTCCACCATTTGTGCAAGTAAATGCTTCACCACAGGCTCCCTCCGGCTCTTCTCGGCCTGCAGCGCCTCAATCTCCACTTGACTGGCGTTCAGCTCCTTCTCCTTCGTGTGGGAGTCTACCGCAACAAATACAACAGCCACAACAACAACAACAACCACACCATCACTCTGTTAGTACCATAACAAAGTATTGAAACTGCAATGTGAAACACGGTACGGCACCCGTTGACAGCCGCTGGTGCTCGATCTGCAGCACCTCGCGCTTGCGCTGCGCCTCGTCTGTAGCACGCGCATGCTCCTGGGCCTGCAGCTGATCGGCGCGCTTCTCCTCCAGAATGCGCGTCTTTTGCGCCTCTACCCACGCCTCCAGCTCCGTGCGCGTGCTCAGATTCTGCTGCACTAGCAAATTCGTCTCGAGCGGCGCCGGCAGCTCGAGTGACCGCCAAATCTCCTGCATTTATGTGGCAGTGGTCGGTGGCATTAAAAGCGTCAGATCATAGGATCGTAGGCTAATTATTAGCTATTACCGTTTTTTTAGGTCTTATCAACGCATCTCTTTTTTGACAATGTACCCGCATTTAAACCCATATTAAGCCTTAGAGATAAATCTGCCGGAGTCAGATTACTATCAAACGCGAATTCTTCGGCTACTTATCAAGATACAGAATTATCCATGCAACCTTTAGCACACGTAATCAATGCTACCGGACGAATACTGGTACTCGGCAGCTTAGCTCAATCACCTTTACATAGTAGTATCACTAACAGGAATCACAAAAACCTTGATGCAGAAGTAAATTTGTTGATCTCCATTCGTAAGCTCGTTTTTAGCATGCTGTTCAATGCCCCCAATTTTACTATTTCGCCCCCTGAGACCAAAAAAAAGTTTCTTGCAACCCATTGAAAAAAATACAGATTAACTACATCGATTTTTTGTAGCGGAGCTACTTAGCGCTTTATAGCAGAGAAAGTCTTAGACTTAAAACTTAGCGGAGCTACTTCGCGCTCCTTAACAGAGAAAGTCTTAGACTCGAAAAGTCCCTTAGTTCCACAACTAATAACGACGTAAATTTGTTCAAGCACACAAGCTTAGCAATCCTGGTCCCAAAGGGACTGCGATTCACAGAATCACACACTAACTAGTCACTACTAGTTAAACAAGAGTAAGCGCCTTCACATGGCTAAAACTCTTACAACACACTACGCCTTGTGTAACGGGGTGAATCGTTTCATAACAATTTACTAGAAATTGCTAATAGAATTTAACTATGAGAGTTATATTCTCGGAACATTGTCATAAGGACAATATTCTACAGCACTTACAAGTAGTTCCTAATTGGTTGATATAGGCCATTATATCAACCAACGAAGACGCGCCACGACAGACGCACGCAATGAGTGGTGAGCAGATAACTGATTTACACATTTGTATTTAGACATAGTTAGATGAAGATAAATAGTGATTTATTGCAGACATTAACTATTATAAATACAGTTCTACTTTTTACTTTAACCAAGTACTCGCTTCTCCTTACCGTCTTCCTCTGCACGTACGAGTGTACGTGAAGTTCCGAGGCACCGCCTTATTCTATCGTCAGAATAAGTAGCTTGCACTGTCATCAGTACAAGCTTCAGGGTGCCCCGTTACACCTTGACTCGGCACTAGCGTCCAATGATTCAAAACGGGAACTGAACTTGATTCATTCTTTAAACACGGTAATGCGACCCTAAAACCTAGTCTGACTGACTTCTACATGACGACCCTATCACAGAAGTCATATCCATTACCCCTACCCGACAAGCTGCAGTATTACCATAAGTACGTGGTACCAAAAACGTTTCAACCAGATATACCGATCTTTACTTGGTGTGGACACACTACACAACCGGTTCAAATAACCGCGTGTAACCCCGTTACGCCCTCCCCCACCAAACTGTCGACATTCTTGTGTCGACAATTCTTTTGCTGCGATTGGAGGTCTGTAAAAGCTCTGGTCCTTAGCCATCGTGTTCACAACTCATCTCAAAACGACGGAGTCAAATCCTTCATCTGACAACCTGGGAGAATTATTTATAGAGGGTATGGTAGACTACAGTAGTGACACCGCTGCCTCGAGCATCTAAGACCATACTCCAGCTACGCCACCGGCGCGTGACAACACGCTCATTGCGCCGAATCCATTCGTGGAACACGGTGAGGTACCATCACCCCTTGCACAGCGTGCAGCCGTCGACCCTGCGTTGGGTATGTTGCACAACACTCTCGATGAAGATCAAGAACGATTTGTTCAGTCGGTCGAGGACCGCAGGCTCCAAGAGCAAACTATAGCCACAGCCAATACTTACAGTGGCTACCGCTTCACTCCACCAAGTGTGGATGAACGCATTTGTCAGACTGCCGGGAAGTCACTCGCAACAAGGATCACGGGACCCAAGGCTGTCACAGCCACAGCGCTAGTGGGGAGGGAGGCTCTCAGAGCGACTTACCTGGCGGTCGAGTATGTTTTTGTACAAGATTACCTTGACAGGCTAAATCTGCAAGCACGAGGTGCGTCAGTGTCCGCCATGCGGACAATAACCATCGCTCTCTTTCCTAGTGAGACAGAGGTGGGCAATGATGTCATCTTTACGCGTTGGGCCCACAGAGCTCGCCGTCTGCCAAGCCTGTGGAATCTCCAAGAGAGAGCTTCACTTGCTGACGTTCCGCTCGAAAGAAAAGTGCGTTTCGATTTTGCCAAAAAAAGGCCAAAGGCTAACTGCGATCGTTTTATCGCGCACGCTATGCTGCGGCAGCCATGGACCTACGCCTCAGTGCACCTGCACCTGCAACAGCTGCAGCCCCCTTCGCTCCCACACCGTCTAGTGGGAAGCGGTATGGGTGGACTGGCCCTGAAGACGACATTCAAAAACGTTAACGGCGTACGGATAACAATGCCGCAGTGGCACTTCGTACTCCCATGCGTTTTCTGACTCCGGGTACCCTCGCCACTGTACCAACTTCTGGTAATGACCGTCGCGACGATGTCGCTGCAGGATTCGTTCAATATGATACTGTAGATCCCCTTAATCGTCGTTGAGAGCAGGCATTGGCCGATGAATCTCGACGCGTCATCGACGAGATAGTGCATGAGGTACACGGTCTGCGTGACCGCGTGGAGCGTCTTGGAGGACAACAAAATTTTCCCTTAAGATTATCTTAACTTGTGGCATCACCAACTCATTCGGCGCAAGCGTCTCGTGATCCACCAGCGATGGATCAAGGTAAGGCTTGGACAAGCCAACGTAAATTACCGGGTGTGTTCGCATCTTGCGCGGGAGGTTGAGCGTGTGCGCTAGGCCTTTATTGGCCACAATCGCAAACGGCCCAATAATGCGAGGAAGCAACTTGGTCCCGTAGACCGCTAACACCATCTTGGTAGGTAGCATGTTAGCGTTAAGCAAGACTAGGTATCAAGTCTCATAACTCTCAAAAAAACTTTCTGCCGTTTACATCAGCTTGTAACTTCTGTTTGTCCTGGCTAGCAGCAATTGCACCACGTACATGTCGTAAGATATTCAATCGCGTAGTGAAAAACTCACTCACCTGTGTCTGAACATTATACGGGCTGACATCAGCAAGCCGATCGGATATTCTTCCCTCACCAAGCCCAGAATCATGTAGGGGTAGCGTTAATGGAACATGTGGGTGAGTGGGACCATTCACGTAGAATAGAGTAAATCCCATAGATGCATGAACAGCATTGTTTAACGCAAACTCGACCACAGGGAGCATAGAGCTCCAACGCCAAGTCGTATCAGCACAACCACTGCACAAAATGTCATTAATGAAACTTTTGACACGTTCATTTTTGCCATCGGTCTGCGGATGATCCGCTGTGGACATGTCCAACCTGGTTCCTAGCACCTTGAAGATGGAAGTACAAAATTTTGGTGAAACGAGGATCACGATCAGAGACAATTACCAGCGGGTGTCCGTGTTGTCTAACTACGCGGTTAATGAACCGCAAAGCAGCGCTTTCATTATCAATCCAATCTGGCACAGACGCTAAGTGAGACATCTTGCTCAAATGATCATCCAGACGACAAAATCAGCGTTGCCTTCCAATCCTTTCGGTAGGCCAAACGCGAAGTCCACGCCGATGGACTCTCAACACATAGACGGTACAGGAAAACTAGCCAGAGGTGTATTCCCATGTGCCGAGGGTTTGACCCGTTGGCACGTCTCACATGTACGCACATAATTGCTTGTCTATTTATAGAGTTTGATCCACCAATGACGCTGGCTAATAAAGTCGTAGGTCTTCTCACGACCAAGATGACCGTTAATATCAGTTTCACGTGCTTCAAAGAGGATAAGATACTTCAAGTGCTCATCATGAGGACCAGCAATGCAGGGCACATCCTCAACAACCGTGCAATAGCACAACACACCCACCATCGATGATATGTTAATGTAGACTCGCACGTAAACGTGCCAACGATTTGGTGTCCGAGTCTTAAAAATCTTTGCTTCCAAGAGCATGTAGCAATTCTACACATTGCTCACCACGTGCATATTCCGCACGAACTAAATTCACAATTGAGGACAAAAGAGTCGTGACATGGCCAAGATCACAATCAGGTCTGCGTGACAACACATCAGCCAAAGCTTTTTGCTTGCCCAGCTTATACTTGACTTTGACGTCGTATTCAGCAAAGAATGAAAGCCAACGAGCCAAAAATTGTGAGAGGTGAGGTGACTGTGTCGCAGTGCGTAATGACGCATGATCTGTGAGGATCAAAAAAGGATATGAGCCAAGGAGATGGACTCTGAACATGACAGAATTATACTTCATTGCGAGTAACTCTTTTTCGTGAACTGAATAGTTTTTCTCTGCAGTCTTTAGCTGACGAGATTCGTACGCAATGACGTGCTCATTTCCATAGACATCTGTCTGCAATGATGCACAACCAATAGAAAAATAAGACGTGTCACAGACGACACTAAAAGGCCACTCAGGGTCAGGCTAAGCCAAATTGGAGCACAAAGAAGACTTTCCTATACAGCTTTAAATTTGATCATAAACTACGTCCCAACACCAAAGTGCATCCTTCTTGAGAAGGTTGATGAATGGTCTTGCCATGTAAGCGTAGTTTGCACTGTACTTTTGCAGGTAGTTATCAAGGTCGAGCCATTTACGCAAGTCATTTTGATTTGAAGGAATTGGCCAGTCAACAATTGACTTTACCTTAGCGGGATCCCTTGAAAAATCCACGCTGACCGATAAATCACCCGAGAAAAGGGAATTTCTAGTGCCTTGAAATGCATTTTGATACATTTTCATTAATCTTGTTCGTGCGCATGCACTCGAGTACCGCTCGTAAATGGTCAGTGCGATCGTCCACATATGATTTGCCATGTTCTCCACGGCTATGGACAGAGATGTCATCGAAATAGCTTTGTGCATATCCTCGGTG